TGTGGATGGCTGCAGAGCTGGGGGTGATACAGAGGGGCTTGGAAATTGGCCAAAGTGAAGTAAAATCTAGAGCTGTGCAAACTTCATAGGCAAATATAACTTGAGTTGGTTCCATGAATATTCCTGACTTTTGTCTAGGTCTATGGACTCAGAATCTCTGGCAGTGAGGTTGAGAACACACTCCTCAAGAAAAATAGTGGTCAGATTACTCACACTTGGAAGGAGTGTGGAAGTAGACATTGTCACACTGAATGTCTGCAGTTCTTTGATTTTCACTGTTCACTAAGAGCAGAACTACCCACAACTCCTTGGCAGTTCTGTTCTCCACCTACCACGTGCTGACTTTCCCCTCCCTCAACCATCCTGTAGGGGCTCCCATGTGGAGAGAAGCTCCAGAGACCCCTATCTCCCAGCCCCATCTCTACCACTCACCCTTTTGATGAGGCGCTCTTTCAGTTCCCAAAGTTAATGTAGCTTCTGTCTTAGCAGCCCTCCTACATACTCTTGCCCTGCCCTCGCACCCCGTAGCTATCTCTTTCTCATTCTTCAGGCCTCAACTGAAATAAGACTTTTTAAAGGTGCTTTTCTGACTACCTAGCTTGAGAATTCTTCTTTCCTCCATATCCCATAGGCCATATCATCATTTATCAGCTATTTATAATTCTTTACCACTTAACTATGAGTTCTGATAGTATAATCCACAGGGAGTTTATGATAGTAATTGTTCAAAATGGTTTCTCTGCCAATTAACTTACTTTGCCATGTGGGTGAATGGGAATATGCATATAGGGTGCATTAGCTTATCCAAAAGGGGATTGGCTAGTTTCACCATTAAATTGAATGGATCCAGTAACAGAACTGGGGAGTTTGATCACCAGCAAAGGAGAAGCAGGCATGCAGTGAGTGCCCTTCAGGAACAGAGACTCCTGTGCCAGCTAGACTTACAGAAGCAGCAGTAGCACTTGCAGAAGTAGAGGACCAGAGACCCAACAGGAGACAGAGTTGACCTTGGGACTGCTATCCCCTTCTCCCTTCTCTCCATGGAACAAGAACTAGGAGCCTTTGCCCAAGTTTATTGGACTTGGGGTTTGGGGGAGCAGAGAGCCATGATTGGCAGGACTGAGAACTTTGTAACACTGGTCTAAAGCCTTGAGCTCAAGGCTGAGGTACCTGAGAGCACATTTCTGAAACTATCCTGACTGATATATTCTGGTACTAACCTTTTGACTTCCCTAATATAGTTCTGTGTGGTCTGAGAGCTATCACACTCAACACTGGACATTGATGTTGAGATGAGTAGAAAGAGGTATGGGAATGTGGGGGACTTGAAAGAGGTATGGGAATGTGGGGGACATGTCTGACCTTATGGGAATTGGCTTTGTGCTGTTGGTGTTGTTGACAGGGACAGTTCCCCTTTGCAAAGTTGGTAAAGGGCAGACTTGGCCATCACCAGGTGGCCCTGTTCTTTCTACAGAACTGCACTGCTAAGTCAAAGGCGGTGCCTCTCTGGCAGTTAGAATCCACCAGTGACCCCACAGAAGAAATATGAGTAGTCTCCTTTAGTGCAATTTATAGCCTCAGAGAATTTACTGGAAGGTTAGCTATGAGTTGGTTCTGACTCAACAGCAGCAACTTTGAGTTTCTGATTTTTGTTTTGTAAACCTATAAACTTAATGTAGGAATATATTTTTTCTTTTTACCTTGATAGGTCTAAAGTCTAGCACAGAGCAAGCCCTTTAAAAATGTATGAAATGAAAACAGAGAAGGCTTCCTCTACCCTCCAAAGCCATCATGTTCTTAAGGGGGCTTCCTTAGCACCTGTGTCCTCAGGGTCAAGGGAGTTTCTATGAAGCTGGTACTGTCTGCCCTGGAGAAGGTCAGAGCTCCAGTGCCTGGCACTGATGAGGTTCATGTGGGAAAGTTCCAGGCAGTTTTGAGTTAATCCCAAAAAGAAGATAACCGTGGGCTTACTTGTGCTTACTTACTAATCTGTAGTGAATAATTTAACATTTTTCACCATCCCAGATGTTTGGCTGACATCTCTCTCTCCCCCAGTATCATAGCATCTGTCTATAAATTTTGATTCTTTGAGGACACTTTTGACAGGGATGGAGTAACCAGTAAGAAAGGTAAGCATGATAAGCACCAACTTACTTATGTGTCCTTCCTAATCTGTAGTACCACATCACATGGTTGGTTTGTGAGTGTTTTAAATCACATAAACTAAGGCCTGGGGATCCAGTGGTAAGAACAACACAACCAGATCTTGAAGGATCTTAGAAATCTATTGGCAGAAACATTCCTAAGTGGAACTTACCTTTCAGGTTTCTGGAAGTGGCCACAAAACTTATATGAAACATTCAACCAGCTAGGTAAGGAACCAAGTGTGCAAAGGGCTGGGTGAGGGACAGCAGGGCTTGAGGGCAAAAGTCTTCCCTGGTGGTCACCAGGCTCGGCTGATGACTTCATATTTGTAATTATCATTAACAAAATCTACAGGACTGTTTGCTCCAATTTCTTGACACACACAATAAGCGAATATCTTTCTAACTACAGCAGCACCATTGCCACAGGGTTGTGGAAGTGTTACCTCTGGAGATTGTGCCCTCAATGTCCATCATGATGTTCCTTGTAAGGAAGGAGCCTCTCTAAGCTATTATCTCTGATCTCCCCATGCTTCCCACAGGACTTCACCATGACCCTATACTTGCGGCATTACTGGAAAGATGAAAGGTTGGCCTTCTCCAGCACCAGCAACAAGAGCATGACCTTTGACGGCCGGCTGGTGAAGAAGATCTGGGTCCCTGACATCTTCTTTGTTCACTCCAAAAGGTCATTCATCCATGATACTACCACTGACAACATCATGCTGAGGGTGTTTCCAGATGGCCATGTGCTGTACAGCATGAGGTAACAGTCCACTCTATCATTTCTTTGCTCAATGCCGTTACAACATGTGTGAGCAGACCCTTTGGCCCTGAAGCATTGATCAGTTTGAGCCTTCGGCAAGCAGTGATCTCTGTCATTAGGGGATGTAAGAGTGTGTTAGGAGACTACTTGGCCCTAAATAAGTTGATGGAGACAATGATCTTCTATCTCCAAGAGCCAAGCAATGTGGCTTGTCAGATAATAAAGACTAAAAAATAATGATGATAGATATTTTTTATTAATTGTTGCTGCCGGTTAACTCCTGAGCTAACCTGAGTGGTTTATAATTAGCTTGAGTTTTCTTTACATCTTCCTGATTGCTTGCAGTTTTCATCAAAACGAAACTCTAATAATAGATACCTAATGACCTTAGGTGGGGGTTGGGGGTGGGAATTGGGGGGTGGGGTGGATCTTCTCAGGCATCTCTAGCTTATGGGACCCCAGGAGAAGTATGCAGGCGTAGAGGATTAGCAACTGACACTTTAAGTACTGCATTTGTAAAGGAGATCCAGGTAAACCACCAATAGTGTCTGCTACAGAAGACAAAACTACAAAAATCGAGGTTCTGTAGCTCAGATACCTGCTCCTAGACTTTTGCAGCAGAGGTGAAGATGTGGTGGCTCTTGGTTATGTGCATTGTTCTCCCAACTGTGAACAGGAGTAGGGGCTGATATAACTCCCTACACAAGGCAACGTGCATGTTTGGGTGTTGTCTAGGATCACAGTCACTGCCATGTGCAACATGGACTTCAGCCACTTTCCCCTGGACTCACAGACCTGTTCGCTGGAGCTGGAAAGCTGTAAGTACCAGTGCTTATAATGACACACCTTCACCTTCTCCCCCTCTTATCTGTGTGGTGTTTCAGTTACCCTGAGACCGAGTGCCAAGTGCCAGAGTAAAGAATTGTTTACACTTGGATTGATATAAGATTTTTCTATTGCTTTATTCTGAGTCAGAGGTAAAGGAGTCAAATAAACTTATTTTCTTCCCCCTCAAGATGCATACACAGATGAAGATCTGATGCTGTATTGGAAGAATGGGGATGAATCACTGAAAACAGATGAGAAGATCTCCCTGTCTCAGTTTCTGATCCAGAAGTTCCACACCACTTCTAGGCTGGCCTTCTACAGCAGCACTGGTAGGTAACTTTAGCTATCGTTGTATAGTTGTGTACCGTTGAGTCAGGATAGATCCTTAGCTGACTCTCTGGTGGGTTTTCAGAAGCAGTTAATCACACAAAAGTAGATTGCCCATTTTTCTCCCACAGAGATTCAAACCATGAACCTTTAGGATTACAGTGCAGCTTCTTACCACTAGACCACTGGATCTTTTTTAACTTTAACTGTGGTCCCAGGCAAATGTGGAAGAAAACACATTAGAATCCCTCTTCAGCTTTAATGCAAGCTCTTTCAAAATAGGAATGTTTAAAAACATAAAATAGAAAGTAGTGTTGCTACTGTCTAAAATTCTATTACCCTGAACAATCTTTCTTAGCAACTTAGTAAAGTTCCTTACAGATATCTTGCTTTAATGATGCAATTTTATAAAAATGGAGTCTTGCTTTGCATGCTTTTCTAGAACTCAATTTGTTCTATTTAGCAATATGAAATTACAAGGTTATAAATATGAATCTATGGATTGTTACTACTTAATGTGACCTCTTATGGGCCTTTAGGTTAAGTTTGAAGCTTTGAAGGAATTAATTTGTCATTCCTTTCCAATCTCACTCTTAGTTATGTAGTTGCTATGGAGCCCTATAGAACTTCCTGCTTCACTACTCTTAGCTCCAACACTGAGAAACCCAGGGCCTTCCATGGAAGGGTGTGGATTTGTTTGTTTTTTTCCTTTTTTTAAGATCCTGCCTATCCTCAGATGGCCAGTTCTCCTGCCTCCCCAGTATAAAATACCATGGAAAAGAATAAGACTTGGCCATATTTGTATTGGTGTGGGTCAGCCCCATGCCTATGCCCAGTGTTCATCCTCATTTTTCCTCTCTCTCATTCTGATGAGTTGCTACACACAATTTTCTTTTCCTTCTCCGTCTGTTCTTTTCCCAGTTGCTATTCAGTTAACTCAACTCATGGTGACCCCATTTGAGTCAGAGGAGAACTGTACTCCATTAGGTTTTCAATGACTGATTATTCAGAAATAGATCATCAGGGAGCTCTGGTGACCTGCAAGTTAGGTATTAATTACACTGCCACCTCAAAGGTAGGCAGTTGATTTCCATAATTTTAGGACTCATGTACTTATAACTTGTTAGTCAAATTTGTGTCTTCTAGGTTGCAACACCCCCATGATACATCTTCAAGGATATGTACATGTACAGCCAAGCACAATCAATAAGAGTGCATCTGAATTCCAAAATCAATCTCCATAATAGTCTATGTGTTTCCTACTGCCAAAGGGGCCCTTTAGAGTAGTGAGAGAAGATCTTCACCCTGAAACCCACAGCGTCCCTTTTCAGCAGGAAGTAGCTAAGAGAATACACCGTCCCCTTTTCCTTATGACTCAGGGTGAAGTCTCTCTCAGGGAGGAGTGATAGTGAATGGCAAAGGATACACTGACAAAGAAGATTAATCAGAACTGGCTTTGACAAGCACTGTGGCATTTGGACAAGAACAAACTGGGAGGAGGGTAGAGAGAATAGTGCAACAATGAATGAGTGGAAGCCCAAAATCTCTGTAAATGTTTATGAAAATTAATAAAATATAATTATAGAAAAAAAAAAAGGTAGGCAGTTGAATCCACCAGCCACTACTTGGGAGAAGGATGAGCAATTACCTCTTCTGTGAGTGATAGGCTCTGCAAACCTGCTGGAGGGTCAGCTATGAGTTGGTTCTGACTTGACAATGAGAATTCTTCTGAAATGCCTTTGAGTGGGTTTGAACCTTCAACTTTTCAGTTAGTGCCTAGATTAGCAGCTGAGATTATTAGCTATTTGCACCACTTAGTAACTCAACCCAATGTTATTGTTACGTGCTTTGGAGTCCCCTGTGACTCATAGTGATCCCATGTACAAGAGCTCTGAAGCCTGCCCTGTCTTGAACCAGTCTCACTGACTCCAACATGCCTACCCGCATTGCTCTAGTTACTGTATCAATCCACCTCATCAGGGGTCTTCCTCTCCTGTGCTGTCCCTCCACCCTTTCAAACATGATATCCTTCTCCAAAAACCAATCTCTCCTGGCCATGTGCCCGAAGTATGTGAGACAGAGCTTCAAAATCCTAGCCTCCAAGGAGAAACTTGGTTTCACCCTCTCCAAGACAGACCTATTTGTTTTCTTGGCTGTCCATGGTTTGTTCAAGATTCTTATCCAGCACTATAACTCAAAGGCATCGTTTCTTCTTCTGTCATTCTTAGTCATTGTCCAGCTCTCTGATGCATAGCAAGTAATGGTAAAGACTGTGGCCTGGCTCAAGCGTACCTTAGTCTCTATACTGACATCATTGCTTCTAAGTACTTTGGAGAGGTCGCTGACAGCAGATTTTCCAAGTGCAATTTGTCTTTTGATTTCCTGACTGCTGGTGCCAAGAGTGTTGATTGTGGAGCTGAGCAAGCTGTAATTATTAACAACCTCAATCTCTTCTCCATCTAATATGGTGCTGCCAATTGGCCCTGTGATGAATGCTTTGTCTTCTTGATGTTAAGCTTCAATCGATATTGAAGATTATACTTCTTAACCTTCTGCAGCAAGCACTACAATTCCCCCTCAGTTTCAGGTTGTGTCCATCTGTATAATGTAGGTTGCTGATAAATCTTCCTTCAATCCTGATGCGACATCCCTCCTCCCAAAGCCCAGCTTCCGAAGCGATCTGATCTGCATACAGATTGACAAGGTACGGAAATAGGATGCATCCGTGACATACTCCTTTCCTGATTTTGAAACATACAGTGTTTCCCTGCTCTGTTCTGAGGATTGCTTCCTGGTTCAGGTATAGGTTTGTCATAAGCACCAATCAAGTGTTCTGAGATTCCCATTCTCCTCAAGGTTAGCCACAATTTGTTGTGATCCACACAGTCGAATGCTTTGCATAGTCAATGAAACACAGATAGTCTTTCCTCTGGGACTCCTTGCTTTCAGCCAAGATCCATCTGACATTGACGATAATATCTCTAGTGCCACTACCTCTTTTAAAACCAGCTTGTATTTCTGGTAGTTCTCTGTCAATGTACTTTTCCAGTTGTTTCTGGATTTTGCTTGCATGTGATATTAGTGATATTGTTCAATAATTTCCACACTCTGTTGGGTCACTTTATTTTGGAATGGAAAGAAATATAGATCTCCTTCAGTCATTTGGCCAGGTAATTATTCTCTATATTTCTTAGCACAAACTGGTGAGCATCTCCAGGGCAGCCTTTGTTTGTTGAAATGTATCTATTGGTATTCCATCAACTCCTGGGGCTTTATTTTTTTGCCAAGCCTTTTAGTTGCCTGAACTTCCTCTTTTATCACCATTGCCTCTCGATTATATGTTGTTTCTTAGATATTCTTGTGTCAGCCAATTGTTTTTGGTACAATGAATCTGTATACTCCTTCAATCTTTTTTTAATGCTTCCTGGATCATTCAATAATCTGCCCATAGCATCCTTAAGTACTGCAACTCATGGCTTGAAATTGTTCTTTAGCAAGTTCAAATAAAATCTCTTTCTAACATAATTATTAGGAATTTCCTTTATAACTTTTATTGTGCCAGACACTATTCTCATGGCTTTATGTGAATCAATTATTTTTTATCCAAAAAGCCTAGAGTGTAGATAGTATTATATTCAATTTATACATGTAAAAACTGGGAAAGCGAGATCAAGTTATTGACAGAATTGTGCAGCTATTAAGTGGCTAGACAGTTTGCCTTAACCACTATGTTTTCATTCTTAGTTATTTTCTATATTAGGATATTGTACGTGTGTGTTTGATTTCATTTCACATTCAAACCTTTCTGGAGTCCACATTAAAATGCCTTTGTCACTTTCATTATTTATTCTTGTACCACATAACCAATGTCTGTCAGCCCACACCGCAGCCTAGGAGCTCTTATCTCACCATTCTCTATTGGGAACACAGAGTGTACTTTCCCAAAGTCTTTGGTTCCCTGCCAGTGTTTCCAAGGCAACTCTTAGCTGGTTTTCTTAGACAGAAGGAAAGGATAATGGAATAGCTTAGAAGATGAAAAACTTTCTAACACCTTCCAAAAAGACTTTGTGCAAACTAAGTAACAATGTGATCTATTTCCCAGATGCTAACTTGACTAGCTAATTTGAAAGTGAGGAGGACTTGAAGTGCTTGCTGCAGAAGATGACAGAATAAACCTTCAATGTGAATTATAGCTCAACATCAAGAAAACAAAAGTTCTTACCACTGTACTGATAGGCAATATAATGATAGGTGGAGAAAAGATTGAAATTGTCAGTGACTTTTTCTTACTTGGGTTCACAATCAACACCCTTGATTGTGGCAACAATCTTGGCACCAGCAGTCAGAATAGGAGATATATTGCACTGGGGAAATATGTAGTCAGGGACCTCTCCAAATTATTGAGGAACAATTATGTCAGTTTGAAGGCTAAGATACACCTGCTTCAGGCCATAGTCTTTTCAGTCACTTGCTATGCATCTGAGAACTGAATAATAAATAAGGATGACAGAAGAAGAATTTATTCCACTGAGCTGTGGTGTTGGAAAAGAGAGCTAAATATCCCATGGACTTCCAAAAGAACAAACAGATACGTCTTGGAGAAGGTGCAGCCAGAGTGCTCCTTAGAGGCAAAGATGAAAAAGTTTTATTTTACTTACTTTAGGCATGTTGTTAGGACAGGCTATTCCTTGGAGAGAGACATCATACTTGGAAAGGTGGAAGTTCAGCAAGAGAGAGGAAGACTCTCAACCAGATGGACTGACACAGTCACTGCTACGATGGGGTTGAGTTATGTCAGAAATGATGGAGATGGCACAGGACTGGATAGGGTTTAGCTCTGTTGTTCATTGGTAACTAACAGCAGCAGCAACAACAACAACAATTTGACTAGCAAAAAAAAGAGTAGTCTGATTGAGTTAATCTGGTTAGAAGTAGCCCTAGATATGCAGTACTTAAGCAAGCTAAGCTACTAATAAAAAAAAAAAATCAGCTGTCAGAATCCATGAGTTACTTTCTGGGAAAAAATGTAGGAGTCAGGTTTCATAAAAGTTCATAGCCTTGGAGACCCAATGGTGCAATTATCTTCTTTCCTATAGGGTTGCTATGAGTGGGAACCAACTCCAAGCTATAGTTTTAGTTTCTGATTTTCACCTGATTTGACAAAGTTGTGGGATGAATAAATAATTAGTAGTCTCTGTCCATTCCAAATAAAGTGCTTTCCTCATATAAACAACAGAGCCTACACTGTAGTAACATATCAGGCTTGTCTGGATCTACTCTATGATTCCAGTTTTCCCCTACTGACACAGTACTGTTGTTAGATGCCGTCAAGTTGAGTATGACTCAGCGACCCTATGAACAACAGATTTTTTTTCTATAATTATATTTTATTAATTTTCATAAACATTCACAGAGTGAACAACAGATTTGAACCCTGTCCTATCCTGCGCCACCCTCATCATTAGCCACACACGCTAATCACATGACTTTGTTCCCTCAGCAATTTTTCTCCAGGTGCAGCCGAGATCCACTAGTCAACAGAAAACTACGTTCAATCAACAACTTAAGAGGCCCACTGCTGGTCTATTGAATCTGAATCACAAATGATAGAGTCCAGGAATCTGTGTGCTCATCAAGCCTTAATTGTTTGTGCACATTAGAAGTTCAAAGACCATTGATTTTAGCCAGTGAGTCTCAAGGTGTTGTATCCAGACCAGCAACAGCATCATTTGGGGACTCTTCCAAACCCCCTATAGGAGCTCTGGTGGCATACAGAGTTAAGTTTTTAATCCAAAGGCCACACCTCTCTGGTTGTTCAACACCAGCAGCCACAAAGGAGAACTATGAACAAACTTCATCTAAGTGATTCACAGCTTCAGAAACCCAATAGAGAGTCAATTATGAATCAGTTCTGAATAGCAGCTATGAATTTTGAGTTCTAAGTATTGTACACACCGCTGACAGGTTGTACACACACATTGATAGATTCGAGTCAGGTGCCAGGCTCCAAATTACGCATTTCTAACATGTTGCTTATGCAGGGACCCCACTTCAAAAGCCAAAGATCTAAGTGAATGTTTTCAACTCTGGAAGAACATTAGATCTGCCTTGAAGCTTCCAGAACACACGGATGTCTAGGTCTCCATTCCAGGCCAATTAATTCAGACTGTCTAAGAGATAGGACCAGGGAGTGGACAGCAGTCAAAGTTCCTAGGTATTCCTGGTGTGTAAATAGGTTGAGAGTAACAGTTTTCAGCCCATAATTTGTATATTTTTATTTTTTTCCCTTTGAGGAATGATCAGATGGTATGTGATTTCCATATGGAGAATGGATGATCAGCCATAAAACTCATCTCTCTCTCTCTCTTTTTTTTAAATTGAATTTTAAAAATAAACCCCTTTTTTTCTTGGACAAACATGAGGATTGATTGAGTGAGTGGACAATCTCATAATAAAGGGGTTGGTGAAAAGAGCCTGGGTTCCCTGGCTCCTCCTCCTGGGTGCCTCCTTTCTCAGAGGTATTGTGTTTGACAAATTAGAACCTTTCCAAATTTGTGTGCTCCTGAGCTACTTGGAGAATAGAGTTGTGGTCTGCAACTATTTGTAACACACACACACACACACACACACACACACACACGCGCACACACACACCCCTTCTTAGATCTACCCCTCTTAGAATTGTTGGAGACAACTGTTAGAAAAAACAAAATACAATTGCAAATATATTAGCTATATTAGATACTGCAAGATACTTATTTACAGGAGAAAGTATTTCAGTTTTGGAAAGGAAATGTATTATATGAATCATTTATTGTTAAATTTTTGCTTATCTGGTAAGAGCAGTGTAATGAAAAGGGGAGGGGGGCAGTCAGGTTGTCTTTCTTCCTGTTACGTTGTACCTCATCGGCTCTTCCTGTGTCCCCAGGCTGGTACAACCGTCTGTACATTAACTTCACATTACGCCGTCACATCTTCTTCTTCTTGCTTCAAACCTATTTTCCTGCCACCTTGATGGTCATGCTGTCCTGGGTGTCCTTCTGGATTGACCACAGAGCTGTTCCTGCCAGAGTTTCACTGGGTAAAATACTTGATAAGGTGTAGAGGTGTAGGAGGATGGTCTTTTCAACTGGTCCCTAGAAAAAGTAAAATTGCTAATAGGTAAATTTTTTTAGTAACCAAAATGAAATCCTAATCAATGGACTGTCAGATTTGAAGGGTGCATTTTCCCCCCATCCTTGCTTCTTGCTAGAGATCACTTGATAGAGATCATTCAGACTCTGATCTCAGTTTCCCCTACAATGCAAACCTCTGAGTTAAAACTATATTAACCTTGATGCAAATCAAAACAACTATGAGATATTATCTCACTCCAGTAAGAATAGCAAAATTTAACATAACAACAAACATCAAATGCTGGTGAGGTTTTGGAGAAACTGGAACCCTTATTCACTGTTGGTGGGAGTGTAAAATGGTGCAGCCTCTATGGAAGGCAGTATGGCGCTTTTTCAAAAAGTTGCAAATAGAAATATCATTTGACCCAGCAATTCCACTACTGGGAATTTACCCTAAAGAAATCAATCGTAACTGCCACCCAAATAGACATACGCACACCTATGTTTATTGTGGCTTTGCTCGCAATAGCAAAGAGTTGGAAACAACCTAAGTGCCCATCAACAAACGAATGGATAGAGAGGCTTTGGTATAATCACACAATGGAATACTACACTGCATTGAAAAACAAGGAACTCATGAAATATTATACAAAATGGATGTCTCTGGAGGATATTATGTTGAGTGAAATATCTCAGTCACAAAAGCACAAATATTGCATAGGGCCACTGTTGTAAAACAGCACTGACATCAGGGTTGAGGGAAGACAGAAAAGGAGGGGTGGAATGATGTATATTTCATTGAAACAGATGAGGGAGAGAACTGTTTATTAGGGATATATGAATGGGTATTCTTGTCATTACAGAAGTCTAGAGTGAAGGCTGAATAGTGGAGTGCACTTGGGCGGAGGGATTGCATAACAATGAAAGAGTTTTTCTTTTTCTTCTCAAGGAGAAGAATGAATTGTGGGGGACAGGGTGGGCAGGGAGAAAAGTGCAACAATGAATGATTGGAAACCCTAAGTCTCTGTAAACTTTCATTAAAATTCATAATAAAAAAAAAGACCAAAAACCCCCCAAACCTATATCAACCCTGCTTGAACCACTTAAGAAAAATATGAATATTTGAGGCATAGATTTCCACCATAAAAGTGTGGAGGTCAGGACTTAGAGAAAAAGAATAGTTCTGCAAATTCCAAACATATATTCTGTAAATATAAATATGTTTGCTGGTCTTGTTTAGACAGAGTTTGGGTGTAGAACTCATAGCTGTGACATCTGGGAAGGAAAGGAGAGCATTCCTCAGAACTCTGGTTTTAGACCTTTATCGATCTGAGTTCCACTGTGAAAGTTTACGTCGCCATATTCTGTATTGTTTTAATTTTGAATAAAATTGAGCTGGGCTCTTAGAAATGTCAGAGTTCAGTTATCTAAGACTTTAAGATTTACTAAAAATACAGTATTATCTATATTGTACTGCATTATTCTAACTGTACTAACTAGTAAGTCAGAGCAAAGAAGAAAATAGCATGTCAGACCTCCAGTAATCTCCAGTCTTCATGTCCAATGTCCCTTCTAGTTGAGGGAGAATGTGCTTATTTCTTGAGGATTGGGAAGATTCCTTTAGAAGTATTCTTTGGTTGCTGTTTTAAACTTCACATCTACCTTAGTTTGGGTTCTCTGTTGTCATTATTAGGTGTTAATTAATTACAAGTTTATAACGACCCTAGAAACAACATATCTGAACCTTGCCCTATCCTGTACCATTGTCACAATCTCTTTCATTTTCAATTCCATTGTTGTATTCAATGCATTAATCCGTCTTGCTGAGGGTCTTTCTTGCTTTGTCTAACCCTTCACCTTTCCCAGCATGATGGCTTTTCCCAAGGATTGGCCTCTTCTGACAACATGTCCAAATATGTGAGATGAAGTTTTCATTGTACTTGTCTCTAAGGAGCATTCCGATTGCACTTCCTTCAAGCTGGTTTTATTCTTCTGGCAGTCCATGGTGTAAGAGTATTGGATTATCTACAGAACGAAAATCAGTATAGACATATATAGAGATTTATGTCAAGGAAATAACTAACACAACTGTAAAGGTTGTCAAGTCTCAATCTAACTGGATTGTTGGAGGCTGGAAAATCCAAAATATGCAGGTCAATTAGCAGATCAGACATTTCTGTAGGCTTGACTCTTAAGATCTGTAGGTCAGGCATGCAAGATTTAAGAGTTCAAGGTCAGAGTGAGAGAACAAATGCTGCCAGAACATCTATTTATATTTGGGAGATAGACCACATCCCTAAGGAAACTGTCCTTTCCAATGACTGGTTGAATATGTCAGATTACATTATGGAAAATGGTTACATTACATTACACATATGAAACTGTATTCAGTTCAGTGTCTGCCAAAGCACTGAAAATCCTAGTCAGTCATAGGAAGCCTAATCAAATTGACACATAAAATCAACCACTATAACATTAGAGTGGATTTTTGTCTGATATATTCCTTGTCAGACGCATCATAGGAATCTAGTCTCAAAGAGGCTGAGAATGAAACACTGATCACATGGAAACCAGGCCCATTTTTCTGAGACAAGTATGACTTAGTTGTTGTGGAGCAGATCTTTGTACTGCCACAAGGTGGAAACATACCTGAGTGATTTCTCATTAGATTTAAGAGATGAATAATATAAAATTGCCTTAGTGGGATGGGATCGTTCTGGATCATTGTGATTGAACTAACACTGGCTTTTTCTGCAGGTATCACCACAGTGCTGACTATGTCCACCATCATCACAGGTGTGAATGCTTCCATGCCTCGCGTCTCCTACATCAAGGCTGTGGATATCTATCTCTGGGTCAGCTTTGTGTTTGTGTTCCTCTCAGTGCTAGAGTATGCAGCTGTCAACTACTTGACTACGGTGCAGGAGCGGAAGGAGAGGAAGCTGCGCGAGAAGGTGGGAGCGTGTCCCTTTTTCCCCTCCTCTAAGTCCATGCTACCTGGCTGGAGAGGAAGGCAGAAGACAGAAATGTATTCCAAAAAGGGAGGGTTTTGTGCAAAAGAAATGGGATCCTGCTTTGCAAATGGTTCTAGCTTCTTTTGCTGCAAGGATTTCAGAAAACAGAACGTCCTTGGACACTACCATGAGTAGAAAGACTTAGGCCCAACTCTGCTACCTATGGTGAGCCTCACTACCTCACCTGTAAGAAAGGCCAAAACAGAATACTCACCAGCCTTCCTTCCAGGTACAACTGAAAATGCATGTGTGAAATTTTGAAAACTGTAAGATTTCAGTCCTATATAAAATGTCATTGTTATTATTAAATATGTCTAGGAAAAATGCTTCAATGAACAGAACATCTAACCCAACCCACTGTTGGGCAGTTGGTTCTTTATGGGGAGGAGATTGCAAATCTTTCTTCCAAGGAGTGGCTGCTAGTTTCAAACTGCCGACCAATTAGCAACCCAACAAACTTCCAATCAGTTAGCAGCCAAACATGAAAGACACTACAACATCAGAACTCCATAAGTAGAGAAGGGGAACATACTTGAATGAAAAGCCCCTCTGATTTTGTACTCTGGATGGGTAAAAATTCAGCTACCTAAGACTTTGAACTGCAGAGTCATTAGAAATGCTATATTGTACTCTATTATACTATAGTTATCCTATGCTATGAGGTAGAATGAAATGAGGAATCCTACTGGGCAATCCACCACCCTTTTATATGAAAAGGGAAATTCTGTTTCATTCATATTCAGTGACTTAGTAAACCATGGTAAGGAAAAACAAGAACAAAAACAACCCACTGGCATTACAAATAACAGTTGCTAGTCAAAATGTGCATTCACCTTAAAAATACAGAGATCTGGAGACACTTTATGCTTATCTTTCTGGCTTGTAGCTCCTTTAGCATAAGGGAACTTTGGCTTTAAGGAATGTAAACTAGATTTCAGAGGCCACATTTATTTTCAAAACTCTATAGAAACACAACAACAACAACACTTTAACATTTGGGTATATTTTGACTAAGTTTATAAATTTATCATTATTGATGGGTTATAGTGAAATCCTTTTGATCTATAATCCATTGTTGTTGTGTATTGTTGATTAGGAACAGAGCGATGGCCGACCCTCCAGAAGGTTGTGTTGTTGTTGTTATGTGCTGTCGAGTCGCCTGCGACTCATAGCGACCCTC